ACGGTCGACGGGGAGCGCCGGGCGCGCGCCGGAACGGCCCGAGATGTGCAGGGCTGTTTGGGGGGGGGGGGGGAGATGGAACCCGTGTCACCTTCATCATTGGGCCCGGGTATGTCGGAAGAGTGTTGTAAATTGGAAGGAGGTGCCTGGTGGCGAGCGATTGAATATAGCTGATTGCAATGACACGCTGGTAAAAGTTTCCTCCATCGCCCCAGGGACACAGCCACGTTGTAAACGCAGACCTTCGGGTGGGCCTGGTCACATCCAGCCGTCAGCCGTAAACCGGACCGGACCGGAGCGGAGCGGGGGCGTGGCCTCGCCGGCCGCGGCGCGTGCTGACGCTGCCACCTCCGCCCGCAGTGGCCGCCTCGACGTCGCCAAATGACTCGCGCCGTTGGCACCCGGCCGCACGGCGGTGGTGGCGGCGCCGCCACTGACCGATAATTGGCCGTCGTCATCTCGGCGGTGGCGGCGGCGGCGGCGGCGGCAGCGGCCGGCGGCCGGCGGCCGGGTACCACTCATCCCCTGCATCACAATGAGGCCGTGTTTTTGCCGGGCGGCGGTGGTGGCGCACCTGTGCGCCGCGCTGACCGCCGCCTGTGAGTCACACAGCGCCGCCGAGGGGGCCGGACCGGTCGGTGGGCCAACCGGGCGCCAGACGGCGCTGATCCGCTCACGCTCCGGCGACGGCCGGGCTTCCCGGGCGGCCGCCAGCGGCCGGCGGTGGGCCGCGCGTGCGACCTATCGCCGCCGCACGCCACGCGTGCACGGGCGCGTGCGCGTCGGGCGCCGATGGGTGGGAACGGTGGGCGGCTGCCGTGCACCGCGCGGACCCGGCCATTAGCAGCGCGGGCGGGGGCGGCGGCAGACGCGCACGGCTGTTTACCGGGCGGTGCGCGCTGCCCGCCCGGGCACGCCGACGCCGCGCATGGGCGGCCGCCGAAGCAGCGAAAGTGGTCGGCACGAGAGCGCCGTTTTTATCGAGGTGTGGCGCTGTCAGCGTGGTCGTGGTGCGCCACGCTCGTGGGAACCCGCCGCTGCCTACCGCTCGACGGTGCGGACCGAGCGCGGTTCCGAGTGCGGAGCTGCGGTTCCGGCGGTGTTTTGCACCTGATTGGCGGCTGCCGCTCCACCGCTGGTCTGGCCCGTTGGCGGCCGCGCGGCCGCGGACGTACGGCAGCGGTCCGCACCCCCGCCCCGGCATGCCAACCATCCGCCGCACTCGGGCAAACCGCGCCCGCCATCCGGTGTATTTTAGCGGCGGCGGCGGTGCCTCGCCGGCGGCCGGGCTCACCGCCAACAAACAGACGCGCCGACGAGTGTCCAGCTGACGGCCGAGCGGCTGCCGGCGCGGGCGCGGGGCCGCGCCGTCCGCTGTCCTCCAGGGGCGGCGCGACCTCGTAAGGATGGCGGATATGCCACTGGGCCGGGCCCCGGTCACGCGCGCACGCCTGGTTGGTGGCCAAGGGTCGCGCTGCGTCGGCTGATCACGACGGTGAGGGCTGAGCACGCAATTCGCAGTCGCGCAGTCGCGCGTAACGACAGCCAACGGCCGCCAACGACGCGCGCCATGTGTAGGTGGAGTCGCGAGTGCTTCTGCGCCGCTGCTGGGCCGTGCCCGTGATTGACGGCGGCCGCCGGCGGTACGGCCGGTGCGGCCCGGCCGCCCGGCCGCCCGGCCGCGCCGGGCCCCGGGCCAGGTCCCACGCCCCGGCTCGCGCTGACCCGCTCGGCGCCATCCTTGACTCCCGGCCGCTTCCGAGTGCGCCGCCGGCAGCGGCCGCTTTTTATGGCCGAATTAATGGTCGTGATCGCCGACGTGCTGCACCGCGGTCGGTGGAGGCACCCCCGGAATCGTGGGAACGGGCCGGCGGCTGTTGGCGGCGGCGCCGATCTCGGTCGGCCGCCGCCTCCCTGGTCACGCCACGCGGCGACAAATGTGGGGGCCGCTGCTCGGAGCTCTTCTGCTCGGAGCGGCCCCCTGGCCGAGGCGGCTTCCGGTACCGGAATGCCGGCCGGCCGCCCCTGACGGGAGGCGGGCAGCGACAGAGGCTGCCGCTACCTACCTGGCCGCTGCTGCTGTTCGGCGCCAGCGTGGCGCTGAGGGGTGCGTCTCGTCGGCACTGGGAGGCACGGGAGGCTGGAGGCGGGAGGATGGCGCCGCTCGGCCGGCGCCGCGCCGCTCTGGGTCCCGGCCGACTGTGGCCGCGAGGCTGTGGTCGCATCGAGTCGCCGCCGCAGCCGCCACCGAAGGCAGACCATCCGTACGGCCTGGGCTCGACTGCTCCGCCGCAGACGCCACGGCGCCGCCACGGTACACCGCTCTCAAGCTGCCGAGACGACCAGAGCTCCGACGGCGCGCCGCCACGGCAGTCGGCTCGTGTGCGAGGCCGCAGCCTATGGCGGCGTTTGCCCGGTCCACGGCGTGGGAACCTTCGTCTTTGTACCCGCCCACCCCCGCAGCCCGGCTGCGCGCGTACTTTTGGCCACGCTTCGCTTGCTTTTCTTTGTTTTTAATTGGCCCAAATCGGGGCAGTTCACAGGACCGACTTTCAGGTGCGTGGGCCGTGCAGTCCTGCGCGCGCGGCGGCTGTTGTAGCGCAGAGCGGGTCGCCCGTTCAGCGTGGGGTGTGCCGGATTGTGGCGGCTCCCACGGCCCGGCGCGGCGGCCGGGCTCGTGACGACGCCGGCACGCGACGAGCGACAGCCGGGAGACACGGCGACAACCTCTCAATTGCCTACTCCTGATGGCTGGACGCCGCCGGCCGGGGAGCCGGTCGAGGGGGCGGCAAGGAGGCGCCGGGCACACGTCTCGGCCGCCTCACCTCTGACCCGCCTGCCGATAATCTCTCCGCCGCGGGGCGCCGAAGGACTGCGCTCGGCCGACCCGCACTCATTACGGCGAAATGGCGGCGCGCGCGCTGCACGGGAGACCGGCGGCGCCGCCGCGGGCCGCCCGGCTGCCGGTCCGCCCGGCCGTCCCGGCGCCGAAGGCCGGGCCCTCCGCAAACAGCGCGCATTCTCCGCATCGGGCCGCGTGCGCGCCGGCGCGCGGCGGATTCGAACCGGGCCCATTGAGCTTCGGATGCGAGCGCGGAAATGCTGGACAAAGCGGCGGCGGCGCGGCCGTTTAAACCGGCCGTCGAGCGTGCGGCGTCCAGCGTCTGAACCTGCCACCCTGTGCTGGCCCGTCTCTTTTATCGGTCGTCGCCGCGAACTGAGGGCTCCCCCAGGGTGCCGATCTGTCTTGGGCCACTGGGCGCTGCGCTTTTGTGGGCCGGCCTGGTCGTCGTGAGGTGGGGAACAAAGAAAAGGGAGGTGGATCGGCCGGCTACCTGGCCGCCCGGCACACTCTGCCCCCGGCGCCGCTCTGGGCTGGCTTCCACCCGCACGCTGCACCCGGTCAGCCGTCCGGCTCGTGGACGCGGTGAGGTAGAAATGCGACATGGTCGTCGGTACGTCGTGTGTCGGGATGTTCTAACAACGGTAGTGTGCTTCATCAGAGGCGTGGCGTCTCGTCCGTTGGCGGGCGTGACGCCGTGTACCGTGCCGGTGCATTCTCGTCCGGCGAGCCCCGGTCCTATCGTAAAGATCGAGTAGAGCGGCGGTGAGGACGGGACAGGATAGCCAGAAAAACGGAGTGACCGGCAACGCGCGGCCGCGCGGGGTATTCCATAACGCGCGCGGGCAAATTAATGAGCACTGTGTGGCTCCCAGACCCCGCGACGGGCCCACAAAAACGATTTATTGTCTCCAGCTGAGATGTGCTTGTCACGGGGGAGGAGAGCCCAGTGTTAGGACTGACCGCAGCCGGGCGGAGGGGAGGGGGACGTAATGGGGGTGGAACACCTGCGCCGGAGCCGTGCGCAGGTGTATGTCGGGCATGCGCGCTATGCTGCGCGGCTTGAATCGTGGCAGTCGGTCGTACGGTGGAGTACAAGGCACCGGATGGGAGCGCTGCCTGTGCTGTACGCGCTACGGTCGGGTTCTCACCGCCGTGCTGCAGGGTGGCGCGACGGGCGCCGCTGGGCCCGGCCGCCTCATCGTGGCCGTCTCCGAGCGTTTCGCCGGCCGTCCGATGACCACCGGCAGGAAAACTGCGCTGCCGATGGCCGACGGCTCGGCGCGCCGGCAGCGGCAGGGCGGCCGCGTCGGGCCGGCGGCGCTGCAGTGTCACGGCCGCCGTCACGCCGTCGACCGCTCCCACGGCGAGCGCTGGAGCGGCCCGCTGCAGGCCGTCGGACCCGCTGAACCGTCCGACTGCCGCCGCGCTGCCGCCCGTGACGGTCGGAGGTGCCGCCGCGCCGGCCGTGACTGCGGCGCGCCGGCCGACGGGCGACTGGCTCCCTGTTGCCAGCTCTCTCCTCCGCTCCATCTTTCTCTCTCTGCCTCTGATGGTTCAGCTGGGCTCGCCTGGCTCCACAAGTCACCACACTCACCAGAAGCCCGGCTTGCAGGCGAATCGCGGCCTGCGCGGTTGACTTATTGTGGACGGTTGTTGGTAGCGATGAGGCATGATGGGTCGGTTTCTGATTGGGAGGCATGAAGCATGGAGTGGCAGATTCATATGTGTCACATGCTACGTTACAGCGAATGAGGACTGAGGCAAGGGGCTGTTTATGGGCCAGCTTACAACCGTGCATTGCAATTACTTCAGGCTGGTGACAGCTGGCTTATGCAAATAGTCGAAAACGAAGATTATATCTGATAAATGACGTTTGCAAACTAAAATTTACTGGTTCGCGGGCCGCTGTTACATGCCGGGGCGCATGCTCGTGGGCGTGTTATCAATACCCCAATGCGATAGCATAATTCGCGACGTGCATACAGCCCACACGCGTGCAGCGGTGACCAGCCGCCAGCACCACTGGGACCCCGGTCTGGGACACGGCTGGGCTGCCGAGCCGCCGGCCGCAGCCCATGAGAACGCCGGCCCTCTGGCGGGCGGCGCCGGCGCTACCCGGCGCCGGCCGCTGCCGCCGCTCAGTCGGAGCCGCGCCGCCCGTGCCGCCGCTGCGCTAGTATCGGCGCTCGGCCCGCTGCAGTGTTGGCGCTCAGTGGTGTGCCCCGAGACCGGCCACCAGTGAGCCGGTGCCGCCGCCGCTTCCCCGTGCCATGGTGCCGATGCTCGGCAGCGCAGTGTTCCAGATGAGGTAGGTGGTGGTCCGTGCCGGGCCGGCCCGCGTCTGGTCTCCGTGCCGCGGTGCAGGGGCTTCGGAGCGACAGGCAGGTGTACTTAGAGCAGGAAGGTCCTGGCTGCTGCAATGGCCGCCCGAGTTGCAGGCTGCAGACGCCAAACGAGAGTGCTGCCGAGAAAGCTGCCGGTGACCCGCCTTCCTCATGGAACGGCGAACCGTCGACGCCCGGTGCAGTGGGCGAAGGCGCCCGGTGCAGCGGGCGAAGGCGTGTCGCGGAGGAGACGTGAGCCGGCTCTTTCGCACGCGGACGGCGTGTTGAGCGGTACGGGGCCCAGCGTTCGCCGCTCGCCTGCAGTCTGCGTGCGCGCGGCGGAAGCTGTGCTTGCGAGGAGGCTCTCGGCGGCCGCGCGGGCTCCAGCGGGCTGCTGGCGGCGGCGGCGGCGGCACGGCCGACGCTCAGCGGCTGCGCGTGCCGGACGGCTGTTAGTCGCCGGCGGTGGCCGCGCCACATAACTCAGCCGAATGGATCGGCTGGCGTGGCCGGCCGTGTGGGCGCGCTCACTCGTCAATCAGGTGATATAGCCGTGAGCGGCGGACTGGCCGCCCGCGCCGGCGCGTGTCACCCGACCCCCGACCGGCCCTGCCGCACAGCACACCCGCTCGGCACGTGACACAGGTCTGGGTGGGCGCCATCGGGCGCGGGTGGCCACTCCGCCGCGATGCGTCCTCAGGGTCAGCTAGAAGGCGATGCCAGGCCGCCTGGAGCTGGCTGCAGGTGCGCGAGCGGCAGCTAACCTGCTGTATGCGCGTGACATCTGGTGACGATCCAGGAAGTTGCACATGGACCATTGTACAAATGTACATATCCGGCTGCATTTTGAACATTGTTGGGGTTCCATAGCATTGCTGCGTTCCATGATGGTTGAGTCGGAGCATGTTCGCCGGTCTTGGCAATATTCCGATAATTGGCTGATCGTTTGTGGCCGGCTGTAAACGTCTCCCGTTGTCATACCGCTCGGATTATCTGCGGTATTAATCACGTAAATGAGCATTGCAGGTTGGTTTTGTGTAGGTCTTGTAACGCGAACCGCCCCATGTGCGCGGCTGACCGCATTGTTCCGGTGCTCGTGTAGCCCACAACGTCAGATCATCGCATGACTAGATCATGAAACGGGAAAAAGAAGTGTATCAACAACTAGTGGCTTTTTTACTCAAGTGCATACGTAGCTCAGGCACTCTCCGCCATTTGGCGTAGAAGCTTTGTATTTCGCGAGAGGACTGCGCATTTAATATTCCGCATGGACGGTCCCAAATAGGTACAACTGTTACTGATGCACTTGTTCAGTTCGCATGCACGCATGCATGGCTTTCAACCACCACTTTTTGTTTCGGGAGTTAAGACCCTCATGAATTTTAATGGGCCGGCTTTGCATAACAGAACTTTTATCAAGCAGGCTGATCCCCACTTTCACAGACCTGGGTTCCATGTGGATTAAAACGGTGTTGTAGCATCAAGCGTATTTGGATTTTGGGTTAAACAGTGTGCCAGCAGCACGAATGGTTGACGTCGTTTGTAGATCAGGTGCCTAAGTGATTATGTATGCATCGTGCATGTTGTTCATCCAACAGGCATGTTTGTGTTCGAAGGCGGTCTTGGCCGGATGAGGTATATGAAGTTTGGTTGCTCATCTTTGATATGCTCCATCAAACATTACGCAGTCCGATGTGGCATTCATTTTAATCAAGTAAAACCTCAGGGACCTGCCCAAAGGTAGCCTTTGAGTAAAATGTATTGTATAGCGTGACGCGGTACGCCTTTCTCTTTGATGTGACACATGTGGTAATTCTTATTGTATTTTCTGCCACGTTATCTATCTTTATACGGCAATCGCTTTGCGATGTTTTGAATTCGCGTAGCCCTGCAGGAGGCGAGTAACCAGGTGCACTTCTTTTGTGGAAGTGTGTTTGGTCATAACGCTACGGCCGATGACTGAATGCATCAGTTTAGTTCTTGCAGAACATTTAACTCGTTGAAATCGATTTTTTTTTGCTCGTATGAAAAATACACTAAGAAATTTGGAAGCAGACCATTCCATTCAATTGATACACAGGGGATTTCTGGTCGCAAAAATGCATTAGAAACGTAGTAGACACCCCTCAAGAGAGCGCTGCGATGCTCATTATTTCTGCCTTGTCTCTCGATATCGCTGTTCCCCTCCCGTCAGAGCGGCCCGTCGTCGGAAACCCGTTCTCGTGCGCTGTGCTTTCTCCACGGTCAACCTGGTGTCGACGTAATGCGCGTGCAAAACTGTGCCGATGCTCTGATTCGGCACGGTGTTTCCATTCCGTGCGTGGTCGCTGGCTGCAGGCGGCGGGTCGTGCGGATTTCGGCCACGATCCTCCGCTCCGGGAATCCACGATCCCCGTTTCCACAAGCTCCAGCCGATCCCAGCTGGAGCTTCGGCAGCGCTGGGTTCAGTATGGAGCGGCGCCCCGACTCCGGCCGCCCGCCCGCGGATGCTGGCCGCTCGCAGTGCCGGACATTGGCACGGGGACGGGTCAGCCGACCGGAGGGATCGCGCCGCCTCTGTCGCACACGGGGACGGGTCAGCCGACCGGAGGGATCGCGCCGCCTCTGTCGCACACGGGGGCTTAGGATGCTGGCAAGTGACGCGTGGCAGGCGTTCGTCGGAATTGGGCTCCCGGAGGCGGTTGTCTGTGCTGTTTTCTCTGTGTTTGCCGGACGGTTTGTGGCTGTTGAGTCCCGCTGAAAACATTGCCGGAGCTCTCCGTAATGAGAGGCGCTTCCGTGCGAGGCCGGCCCGGCTCGAGGGCCGTGTTGCCCGTGGGCGGTGGACGGGCTATAGTCCTGCTGTGTCGCGGAAGCGCCGGCTGCAGCGGGCTGCCGATCGGTCGGGGTGTCTGTGGCGGTGTTGCGCCCTCCCTGGAGCGGCGCCGGCCATCGGCCGTCAGACGGCCGCGCAGTGCGCCCCCCCCCCCCCCCCCTCCCGGCCGGCCGGCCTTGGTCGGGCGCCAAGCGTGGCGGGCCGCAGCCGCAGTCGGCGCACGGTGCAGGGGTGGCGGCGGCGCTGCTGCCGACTGAGGGCGCCGGGGCCGCCGCCGCCAGGCCCCCCCCCCCCCCCCTCTGGCGGGCGACGGGGCACTGCCGCGCGACATGCACATTATTGAAATTAGACCGAATAACCCGAAGTTCTCGTGCATTGCACGGCTGCCATTGCGAGTGTCGCAGTGCTGCGGACGGCTTAATAAATGAGGTGGGACGGCGGCCGGCGTCCGTGCTCTCCGGGCGTAGCGCGCCTTACCTCGACTTTGCGAGCGCGTGCTGACCTGTGCTCAGGGGCACGGCTCCGGGCGCCTTGTTGTCCTGCCGGCTGCATGGTGACCCGCCGGCGTTGCTGACCGCCACCCCCCCCCCCCCCCGCCCTTCCCTGCTCCCTGGTCGGCGCCGGTGCGTTTTTGGCCGTGCTCGCGGCGGATGCTATCTACGGGCCTGAATTACGAGCGGCGTCCCGGTCACAGCGCTCCGGTCGGCTTTTTGCCGCCGCCTGACGAATTTACGGTGACAAAAGATGCGTGGTGCGCCGGCCGACGGCGGGCGCGACACCCCGCCGCCGCCGCCACTCCCGTGGGGCGCGATTCATTTGCAGTGCAATTTAACTGTATGGTGGAATTATGCAGCGACATTTACAAACGAAGCGAGCTTTGACGGCAGCGGCGTGATCAATGGACTGACGTAGCGGTCGGCGAGGCGTCGCCGGCGATCTCGGGGAGAGCGGCGCTGGGCGCCGTGATAGCTGCGCCAACTATAGCTGGGCGGCGTCTCACGTGTGGAAATTAGACGGTGACATTTCTGATTGTGCGCATTACACGAGTTGGTGATCCAAGTCGAACTTGGGCGCGCTATTCATCATTCGGAGCCGGCCTGCCCGCTTTGTTCGCCGCCTAAATTGCGCTCAGCTCAGGTGACATTTGGCAGATTACAAATTGTCTGGTTATGATTCCCTAAGTAGCCTGAACGGTTCGTTTAAAATGCACAACTTCTGAGGGATGGGAATAACATGGTCGACATAATCGCATCATTAGAACGTCACACGTGGATAATTTGTTATCTTTAAAATGTCAATCTCATTAGCATTTAGAGTAGATCCGGCGGGAGTGAGCGGGGTGCGGTAACGCTCCGGCGGTCACCGCAGTGTCGTCGACACCGCCGTGTCACGCAGTGCCCCGGGGCATCGGCGCTACCGCCGGCCGCTGCGACCGGAGCCGGGACCGGGATCGGATCCAGGCCCGGGCACGCTCCTGGGCCGTGTTGACGCGCCGGCCTCGGCGGGGGCGCAGCCGTTGACCCAGCCGGCGGCTGTGTGCGCCGCGCGCCGGCCGCAAAAACAGCCGGCCGCCGGCCGCCCTGTTTGCGCCCGGCTGTTTGCTCGGCCCGGCCCGGCGGCGCTGGCCGGCCGTTAGCGGAGATCGCCGCCCCGCCGGACAGGTGCTTTCTCGTGCGGCGGTGTCGCGCGTCGGGCCGGCGCGCCGCCTGCGCCGCGGCACGGGCCGCCGGCGGGACTGCCCGTCGGCGACTGGGCTGGCGAGCTCTGCGGACGGGACAGGACCGGCGCGCTGGGAGCACAGGTCCGCCTCGCTGGGAGAACAGGACCGCCGGTCGGGGCGGAGAGGACCGCCCCTCTGGGAGGAGAGGACCGCGTCTCTAGGAGGAGATGACCGCCCCTTTCGGAGGAGTTGACCGCCCCTCTCGGAGGAGGTGAACGCCCCTCTGGGAGGACCGCGGTGCTCAGAGGATGGAATTGCCGCGCTTAAAGGAAGGACCGCTTCGCCGAACGAACAGGACCATTGCGCTGAAAGAAAAAGACGGCCGCCCCGCGGGTAGGGGGTTCCGCCCTGACCGGACAGGGCCGGCCGCCGTGCTGGCCGTCATCTCCCGGCTGCCTCTTTGTCCAGCACCGGTCGCCGCGCCGCTGAGTCACCCGCTCGTAAAGCGATAAACTGATCCGCCGTACGGCAGGTAATTGGTCTGCGGCGGCCGCGGGCCACGATCCGGGCGCCGACTGCAGGCCTCCGGCGCCGGCTGGCGGGGCGGGCTCGGAGCCGACCCGGACCGCTGCAGCCGCCGCCACGAACGGGGGCGAGACGGGCGTAACGGAGGCCGTTGCGTGCCGGCGCCACGCTGCTGAGGGCGGCTGCTCCGATTGCCCGCGGCTGTTGTTGGCGCCGGTGCGGGACCGCCATCCTCAGATCACTCGCCGTCGGGGGCGGCGCGCCGGCGCGCCGCTGCGCCGCCGGCCGGCCGTAATGCGCATCATTGCCGCGATGATTTCATTTGTGTACACGTCGCCCGTCCATTGACGCCGCCGACGTAAACATCGCCCGCTGCCAGGAAGTGGCGGCCGGTGCTGGAGCGGGCGCTGCCGCGCGCGCTGGCCGCAGCGGGGCTGGAGGCAGCGCTTGAGCGCCGCGCCTCCTCTGGCAGAGGGATTCAGGTGCGCCTTCATGACGATGCTGACGGGACTTGGCCGCGACGGCCTGCGTGTTCTAAGCGGCGACTGACGAGCCGCAGCCGGCGGTGTGTCAGTTGTACAGTTCAGCCGCCGCGCGCGCTGTTGGGCACGTCCATTGCGGTGGTGACGGCGCGCTGAGTTGATGGTGGCGACACCGAGCGTGAATCGAGGGACGGTGCGCACGCCAGGCCCATTCATTTAGTAGATGGGCTTCGCTGCCACGGTGGCTGACGGCGGGACCAGTGCCCCTCCTCCCGGGCAGTCGGGACCCGGTAATTAGTTCTTTTATTTAGAGGTAACGGCTCGGCAAAAGGCGATCAGCAGGCGTGTGTCCGTTACAGCCGGGGCTCTAATGGCCGGACGGCAAGCCGCGGCCGCCATTAAATCAGTACCGCTGCCGGGCCGGCTGGGCCGCGCCGCCCCGTGGTCGCCCTCGCGTGAAGCTCACCTGCAAAACAAGCCGACTAATGACCTTAATTGATTAGTTCGCGCCTTTATGGCCTGCGTCGGCCAGACAGATTAAGCTTAGAACGTGGGAGGCGTTTATTATTTCGCCTCGCGTGGGAAAGCGTGGTCTTCCTAGCGGCGCGGCGCCGGCTGGGTCCCCAGAGGCGCCGCTCTGACGCAGGCCACCGCGCCACGTGCACCGGGCACGTGCTGTTGCCGATCGGGCGCGCGCGGCCACCAGTCACGGATGTACGGAGACAGCCGTAGGCCACATTGGTGCCCGCATGCGCTCGCACGAGTCCAATAAGGGGTGGCGGCCGCTTTCGCCCGGTTCCGGGAGCTGGCGGCCGTTGAGTCAGTGGCAGCTGCGGCGGCTCAGGTGAGCCGGTGGCCGCTGACGTCAGCAGCGCAGGCTGAGTCAGCGGCGGCCGCGAGCGCCACTCGATCCACGGCCGCCGGCGCTGGCCACGCGGCCCGCCGGCTCGGCGCGGCCGGCGGTGACCTGTGACCTGACCGGCCGCCGGCCAGACACCGTGCCCGCGCCGCCGCCAGCTGGTGCCAGCTGACCCCGGGGTCGGCCGCCGCAATGACACGGGCGTGGGCGGAGTGCTGAGCCGCCGGCGGCATGCCGGCTACGTGTGACGCCGCCCGCCATCCCCGGCATTCGGCTCCGAAATGAGAGGGCTCCTTGAGGCACGGCGGCACTGGAATCCGGCGCGCGCTCGGCGCGGAGGACCGGCAGCCACGGAGTCCGGAGCGGATCCGTGAGGCTGGCATAGCTGCCAGGCCGGCCAATGGAACGGGTCGGCTGTATCGAACCGGCTCCACTGCAGGCGTATACGGCTAAATATAGACGAGTCTTCTTGGTCGGCTTGGCACCGACGTCGCGTGACAATGCGTGACCGGCGCGAGACGGACCCGGCTGTATCCAGTGTCACTTGCGCGCTCTCCACACCACTGCGCTGCGCTTTGCACTGCTGGGACGGAGAGAACGGTCCTGCATGGTGGGATCCACGCCCACTCTGGCGCGTGGCGCTACACGCCAGCGGTGGACGCCGTGCTCGCCGCTGGCCCTGCTTCACCTCCGGCCCCTGGCCCGTCCCGGCCCGGGCTCGCCTATGTCTGAGCTTGTCATACCCCCGAGCTGAGAGTCGGGTGGGGTGGACGACGAAAAGGGGCGGACGACGAAAAGGGGCGGACGAAAGGGGTGGACGACGAAGGGGGCCAGAGGGCGCCGGAGAAAGTTAGAGGGCGCCCAAGGGAGAGTCAGAGGGCGCCCGAGGGAGAGTCAGAGGCGACAGAGGGAGAGTCAGAGGGCGCCAGATAGAGAGTCAGAGGGCACCGGAGAAAGAATCAGAGGACAACAGTGGCAGAGTCAGGGGGCGCCGGAGGGAGTCAAAGGGCGCACTGTTTTTTCTTCCCTGCCATCGCTCCGCGGTGGGTCACAGATGGCGTGCAATGTTCGGTGCCCTCAGGGCAACTTAAACAGCTCTTGCTCCTTGCATTAGGCTGGTGTTTGCGGGGCCGGCCTGGAGCAGCCAGATGGCTAGCTGTGACTGGGCAATGGCCGATGGCTGGACCCATTTATCCTGCCGGGAAAGTCTGTGCACATCAGCGGGCCAAGCAATGGCGTGTACCAATTTAAGCCAGTTAAGGACTTGCCGGAGCTCTTAGGTGTTGACAAGTGGTTTAAACAGGCTGATTTTATATTAACTCGTTTTTAGGCTCGGACATGAAAAAGGGTGGAGTTTTCGCAGAGCTTTGATTGAAGTAATCGTGACATGTTCAGTTGATATCAGATGCGCAAAAAAAATGCTGTCATTAATTTGAGTCCGATGTGTTCCCTTGACCAAATTATGTCGGACTAATTTCAACTGCATGCGAATTTTCATATAGGATATTATGTTGTTTCATGTTGATGTGTACGTGCATCATAACATTGGTCAAATCATTGCAGTTCTGCTGTGAAATCCTGATTTTCGAATTATTTGGTAGGTAGGAAACGTGATTTAGCAGATGATGGTACCGTTGATAGGACGGTTTCCCTAACTGTGCGATTGTTGTGCATATGTTTTTTGTACAAGACCGGGACAGCTGTCTCAATGTTGTGGCGGCGCCTTGCCGCTCAGTCATATTCAGCACGGGAGCTATAGGGGCTTGTGTTCAGAATGACCTACGGTGACATGCCCGCTCATTTTGTATGGAAGGGTTTCATGATTCTTCAATGCTTCCCGTGCTTTTTTAGTGCATAAATTCGGCAGCCGTTTGCCACGGCCATTGCAGTAAGTGCGTCACGAACGTGCAGCGTGCCCACGAGTAACGGCGGAAAATGTGTGAAGTTAACACCCATTTTAAGCCAATCTCGTCATGCAGCACGATACGGCTGATGTCAACCTTCCACGAGACGGAGCCCGTGGCTCCTCCCCCTGTTACTAGGCGCTCGCTTGCATTAGTTTTGTCAGGCGCGGTGCGGGCCCCTTTCATGTTGTCCATAAACTACTTTGCCTCACGAGGGACTCGGCGGTATTGACGCGAAAGGAGGATGGGTTCGCGGCAAAGGGAAAGTGGCTACACGACGAAGGAAAGGATATTGACTGGGCCGTAGTAAGCAGAATGCATGATAATCTCAATGAATGATATTTCTTGAATTCATTGCCCCTAGCATCATACGCGTATTAAAAAATAATATATATATATATATATATATATATATATATATATATGTAATATACAAAGAATCTTGTATGACTATATATGTGTACAATATGCATACATACATACATACACACATACATGCACGTTTTATCCCACGATCTGCGGTCTCATCGGCATTGACGCTCGCCCAGGAAAGCATCCCATGGGTTTAGTGCTTTTCTGATGTGTGCACAGGTATTGATCAGAGTGCCAGTCACGCCGAGTAGTCGATTTGAGCCACCCACGTCTCCCCCTCTCCCCTCATTTCACGGCGTTAAGCTCGTTCTATGGGAGTGTCATCCACTGTCGTACCCGCCAGTAAGCGCTCGTATCTGCCTCCGCAGTTCGGTTCCGTTCCTCAACTTCGCCAAGATATCGTCGCCGTGGAACCCGACGGCGCCCGGGCCGCAGCCGCCGGCGCCGCCCGCCGGCACGGCCACGCCCACGGTCGCCGGCCACGCCATGAGCCTGCCCGACACGCCCACCAGCGGCCTGCCCAAGGAGGAGCACCTCAAGCTGGCCGGCGACACCGGCAGCGTCACCTCCAATGAGGTGAGCTCGGCCCCGCTGCCTGGTCAGCTGCGCCGCCGGATCACACGCAGGTGGTCGGCGCTCCCGAGCCCAGAGGCGTCACGTGGTCCGGAGCTGGTGGGGACCTCGGTCCGGAGCGGTGCAGGCCGGGCTCGGCCGGCAGAGCACGCTTGGCGCCGCGCTTGGGAGCAGGCGGAGTTGATCAGCAGATCGGCATTGCCAGCGGGCTCAGGGACTGCTAGGCCGTGGGACGCAGGGCTTGTTTCCGCCAAGCGTTAACAGTTACTTGCACAGGCCGTTGGGTCCAAGCCCCACTTTCCATTGGCGAAAGTAAGCCTTACGCACAGACATCCGGTGATCACGTCACCTGCGACGTACTTGCACCAGCCCGTTCCTCATCTCGGCGAATGTAGTGGGAAAAATGGCTGCTTGCATCTGTGTGGCGATGCGGTTTTATTCCTTTTCGCAGGAAAGAACCTCCCTTTTACTGAACGCATGTCCCGTAAATGTCCCATCGCTTAAAAAGGCTGTTCAATATGCAGTCCAATTACTGGGATTCTCGTTTCAGTGTGCGAGTGTGCGATTCACGCTCTAAAAGCACTCAATTGCTCGATTTTTAAAAAAAATTGAAACCTTATGCGATGGGTGCCGTGTGGGCGCGCAATGCTTCACGCTTCCGTAGTAGGAAGTCCAGTTCCTCCAGTGGCTGGACTTCCTTCACCAATGAAGAGCTGGCCGCAGCGGAGCTTTGCCTGCAGTAAGGGGCAATGGCTGATTGGCCTGTGGCGCCTGGTGCGGGTTTTTCCGCCAGCCTGTGGTGGCCGTGGCCTGCGCAGCCCCGCGGCCCCGGCGTGGCTGTGCCGCCGGCTCGGTGAGTGACAGCTGCCGTCCGGCCGGCCGACAGGTCTGCCGCCACTTTGCGCCCGTTCCGGCTCCCATGTCCGGGCCAGGCGCTGGCGCAGTGTTTTCTGGCATCCGATGACATGGTGTTGTTGTGCCGTGCTCATCGTGACTCAGTGGGCGTACCGGGCCGGGCCTGACGCTCGGTGGCTGTGCCCCCCCCCCCCCCCCCCCCACCCACCCGCGCCGGGCTGTATGTTCCCAGGCTGGCAGCGGCGGCACCGAATATTTCCGGGACGCCGTTCGAACAGCGTGGCCTTGGATTCGAGGATGGAGGCCACCCTCTGTGTTCACGCTCCCTTCTCACAACTGAGCTTACAAGGGCTGATGCCGCTTAAGCGTATCGATTGTAGGTGACAGTTAGGGTGATTTGTGGTATTTATTTAATCAACAGGATATAGCCGCTCAGCTTGGGACATGATCGAAAGCAATGGCACATAAATCTCCCGTGTTCAAAATCTGACTGAGCAGCTTTAATGAAGTTATGTTCATCCAAACACTGTTGCGGGCGCTAGTGATTCACCAGAAATATACCAGTGGAATACTGCGGCATCGCAGTATCTGATCAGTAGTTTTTTGGTAAAGGAACCTGCGCAACTGTGTGCGGGCTGCGAAGTGCGTTACTGGCAAAATACTTGTCAGTTTGTCATTTATGTCTTACACCATGAAACGGACCTATGCTGACGCCATCATGGGTCAATGTGCGCCTAGTCGATGCTTAGACAACCAGTAATAATTCATTTTGGTGATATTCCTATTCGATGCAACTTGCGAACTGGTCCGGGCAGTGGGTCGAGAACTGCGCCGGCTTCGCCGCGCCACCCACTGCCACCGGGCGGTGGGACGTGCCGCACAGTGAGACAGCATGCCATGGGAGCGGTGAGCGCCGCTCGCGCTGGAGCCGACCGGCGCGCCATCCACTGCTGCCGGGCTGTGGGACGTGCCGCACAGTGAGACAGCATGCCATGGGAGCGGTGAGCGCCGCTCGCGCTGGAGCCGACCGGCGCGCCATCCACTGCTACCGGGCTGTGGGACGTGCCGCACAGTGAGACAGCATGCCAGGGGAGCGGTGAGCGCCGGTCGGGCTGGAGCGGACCGGCGCGCCATCCACTGCTACCGGGCTGTGGGACGTGCCGCACAGTGAGACAGCATGCCATGGGAGCGGTGAGCGCCGCTCGCGCTGGAGCCGACCGGCGCGCCATCCACTGCTACCGGGCTGTGGGACGTGCCACACAGTGAGACAGCATGCGATGGGAGCGGTGAGCGCCGGTCGGGCTGGAGCGGACCGGCGCGCCATCCACTGCTACCGGGCTATGGGACGTGCCGCACAGTGAGACAGCATGCGATGGGAGCGGTGAGCGCCGGCCGGGCTGGAGCGGACCGGTGGCCCGCGGGAGCGGCGCGGCGCGGCGCAGTTGAGTCACGGCGCCGGCGGCGAGCCACTCCCACCGGCCGCCGCGCCACGCTCCGGCTATCGGGCCCGCATCGCCCCGGCCGGCCGCGCGGCGGAAACGGCGCAGCAGCCAGCAACCGCCCCATCGCCACTGGGTGCGCCGCATTTGCATCGCCCCCGTCTCTATTATGTGGTCTGTCCGGGCTGAGGCAGGCCTCGCTGGGCGGTGTGGGGAATCTTAGGTGGAGCTTTGTATTCCTTCGCATGGACGCCGCCTCCCCCTCCCCGTCTCTGCATGGCTGTCTCAACCTACCCATGAGCTGTTCGAAATAATAAAAACAAGCCCGGAAACAATTAAAAAAGCATTGACTCGCTTTGGGGGCACTGTGACCTTTGGCCGGCCGGCGATTTTAGGTGGGACTCCTTTTATAAGGCTTTATGTTGGAACATGGTCAAAGGACAGTGGCACGTATTCGGTACAGAGTGTTGAAGTTGGTGAGCACAATGTGGCATGTGGTTGGTGGCATACCCTCGTCAGGGCCTCACAGCGCACGGTGCAGCGCTCGTGACTGAAAACTAGAAGTCTTTGAAAATTGGTGGGATTTGGGGTGTGGGATTGCAAGTTAGGTCCTTCTACAACGCACGAGTGTGTCTCGCGTTGAAGTCCAGGATTTTTTTCCTGGGGGGAGGAGGTACTTGTTTGAGCCATTTCCATGCATTGTCTGCGATTGTGCGGCGTATTCCGAATGGAGCCGTACTCCGTCTGCGGCGCCTTAAGCGGGCCCATCCGTGTTCGGCACGGTCCGATGACGAGGCGTCGACAGGCCGCTGCCGTGCCGGGCGTCTGCTTTTTGTGCGGCCGTGACCGCCGCGCGCGACAGGCCACCACCGCCGCCGTGTGTGGCGCTCTCGTCCGCTGCGGCGGACGTGCCGCGCAGGCGGCGCAAATACGCCCCCTCCCCCTCCCTGAGGACCGCAGCCCGGCTCAGCGGGCGTGCGGTGACCGCACGTGCAGAGAGGCGCCGCTGGAGGCTGCCGGCCGGCCGAGGCGGCGGCACCCGGCCGCTCCAGGCACGGCGTGAGCGGCACCGCCCGGAGAGGA